TATTTTAAAAAAAAGCTTATTTAATGTGGTGAGCAGCCACCGTGTGACCACAATGTTTCTATTACTCATTGTATGAATACAGTTATCTCTATAGTTAACCGCAATTTGAAATGTTATAATGTATATATAATGAATGTGTGTATATAATAATGTATAATGAATGTGGTGAAGAGAGATAGTAAAATTGACAGCAGTTTTAGATCTAATGAAGACAAAAAGGAGATGAAAGTAAATTGATTATTTTATACGTATTTTCTCTAAAGTCAAGATTTTTAATAACTGTGTCACACACATAAAGCACTTTCTGGTCAGAGCTGTTTCGAGCGAACCTTTGAACAGTAACCTTTGAACTGAAGGCTTTCGGTATTTGTTGTACTTTTTTTAAATAAAAAGGTGATGTCGCAGGGAAATGATTGAATTAGGGATTTCATCAAATTACTAAGGGAGATGATCAATTCACGCAAAATGTTAAAATAAGAACTCTGTAAAGTTATTTCTCAAAGGAAAGTAAATGCTTTGATCATATCCCTAACTTATTTCAGTGAAATGTTGAAATAATATTGTCAAGAGTTTAAAAGTATTCATTTAGCAAATATGGTGCATTATTAAAAGTAGAGTAATTGATACAAAAATCATTGAATTACAAATTATTTATGAGAAATTAAGTAACAAAATAATTAGATAATAAAGCTGGTATTTTTTTTTTTTAAAAAAGGATATTTGTAGTAGAATTTCAAACATTTTTTTAAGTGATACATTAATGTAGAACTTCAGAAATATCCTGCTTTATTTGTATCATCTTTTTTAGTTATTATTTCCTTTTTTTAAAATAGCTTTTTTACTATCGAAAAGCTTTTTTTATCATCTATAAAGAGGGCGTGGTCGAATTCTCTAATTTGTTTGTTTACATTTTACAATTGAAGTTTTATCCTGTTTCTAATTTTCAGGCATTCAAAAGTGATACATCAATCGGAAGATAATAATGCAAAGTATATAACTAATTAAAACTAAAAAAATTATAGTTAGGTCATTTTGTTTTGCTGCGTCACATCAGGAGCCTGGCTCTGCCTGTCACGGACATGGAGAGAGGGGGGAGGTAAAGTGAGTGGGTAATAAAAGCGAAAACAGAGCTCTACAAATACTGACTTGTTCATTTCATTATTTCACGAAAACAGTTCGGGGATTTGATTAAGGTATCCGACTACGTTCGGAACCGTGATTTTAAAAAAGTGCATAAATGGATAATTTTCATGATACTTAGTGTCACTTAGATTAGAATATATGTATAAAATTGTTTTAAGGGTATTTTGACAAAAAACAATATTTTGGTAATATATTAACTTAGAATAATCTTTTTTCAAAATGTTCTTTTTTGAAATTCTAAAATGACAATATTTTGCTTATATAAAGTTAAGACTTCTCCAGAGAGTCTGAACTACATATACGATTTTTGAAAAAAATTCACATTATTTTCAGAGTTACAACCGATTGAAATAATTATTCCAATTTATTTCAATCGGTTTATTTATTAATTATTTCGGTTTATTATCGGTTTATTAATTAATCAATTTAATAATTATTCACCGATTGAAATAATTAATTTTTTCTTAAAGATGCTCCCCTCTGTTGTCATAAAATATGGATAAACCCACTTCTAGGTTGTATATTTCAAAAACTATATTTGAGTCTCTGTAGAGAGGTCTGAGCTATATACAGGCAAAATATTATTATAATAGAAGCATTTTTCACAAAAGGAGATTATTTTGAAAATTGGTCATTCTATGTTCATTTTTTATCAAAATATTGTACTTAACTTTTTTTTATTGTAATACTATTCTTAAAACCATTTTATATACATTTTACAATCTAAGTGGCACTAAATATCATAAATATATTGTCCATATATACGCTTTTTCAAAATCACAGTTCCGAACGTATTCGGATACCTTACATCTCTTACATCTGGGAATTGACCTCAAAAAGACAATATTTTAACATGTTCCGTGAATTGATTATCTCCCTTAAGGATTCGATGAAAGCCCTAGTTTCATCATTTCCCCCTGTGACCTGTATATAATTTATATCATATAATAAAAAAAAATTAGGTAAATTTTTTAGTTATTTTCATTTGTAATCGATATAAATTTAATATTGTTGTGAATGAACATTTTATAAGAAATTTTTGAATAAACTCTATTTTACAGTTAAAAATGCTTCGCAAGGAACTGCTTTTGGATGATCTAAATCGAACATTGAATAACGTGTCACTGCATCTCTTACTTGTCCCAAATAATTTACTTTTAATAAGTCCAGAAAATGCTTAGCTGTATTGTGATATATACCAGATGTGGACAACTTGCGACCCAACAAGACAGTCAGAAAATTCGCTTTGAACAGAGATTTCTTTCCCGGGCGCGATCAAAGATTTGTCTTTTATTTTTCACTATTAAGAAATCAAAGTACCTGAAAGTGTTTCTACTAAAAGATCATCAGCAGAGATTTGAGGACGAGGTCACAGGAAGATTTCAGGATTTTAAGAAAACTGAGCCTAAATTCTATTTTCTCTGTTATTCCATCACTGCTGATAATGATACAGCACCTGAGGAGCTACAGACTGAACTTATTGACTTGAAGTCAGATCACAGTGTGAAGGAAATGTTTAATGCTAGACACCGACTTTTACAAATCTTTTTCAGCTGAAAAATGTCCATGTATGATGAAATTTGAGAGGTAATTGTTCTTCATATTTTAGTCAACATATTTGTGAGCAATGTTTTTCTTGGACAGAGATCGCTAGATTAAACACAGATACAAGTTGGCTGACATAAACTTGCAGGCTGTGTCGAAAATTTAAGAAAAGTAAATCTCACTCCTGATTAAAAAACGACTGCGGTAGCCCAGAGGTCAAGGTATCAGATCATGGCAGGCATGCCATGAGTTTCAGTCCAGTACCACTAAAGACCCACCGTGTAGGGGAGCGATGCACTTTACATCTGTCGAGAGCTCAACGTCCTCCCTTTGCTATGGTGTGGTAGTTAGGAGAGAGGGGTGCCAGCTCAGGTGCCATCCACGTCACTTGACCATGGTTCAAAATTATGTGGTCCGTCGCCATAGACCCAAGTGTAGCTGAACAGTGCGACGTTAATATTCTCTCCCTCGCCCTCACCCTCAATAAAAAATGATAGAAAAGTATGATAGGTATATTTGTCTCATTAAGGTAACCGACTACATTCGAAACCGGGATTTTAAAAAAGCGCATAAATGGATAATTTTCATGATATTTAGTGTCAGTCAGATTAGAATACATGCATAAAATTGTTTTAAGGAGATTTTGACAAAAAAGATTTTTATTTAAATGTAATATTTTGGTAAAAAAAATTAACTTAGAATAATCTTTTTTCCAAATGTTCTCCTTTTGTGAAAATTGCTTCTATTACAATAATATTTTGTCTGTAAACAGCTCAGACCTCTCTACAGAGGCTCAACTAGAAGTTTTGAAAAATTCACATTATTTTCAGAGTTACCACGAATTGAAATAATTATTGGCGTTTTTTTTCTTAAAATTGCTCCCCTCTGTTGTCGTAAAATATGAATAAACCCACTTCTAAGTTATATATTTCAAAAATTCTAGTTGAGACTCTGTAGAGAGGTCTTAGCTGTATAAGGACAAAATATTATTATAATAGAAGCATTTTTCACAAAAGGAGAACATTCGGAAAAAAGATTATTCTAAGTTAATTTTTTGCCAAAATATTATATTTAAATCAATTTATTTTTGTCAAATTGTTCTCAAAAACAATTTTATGCATATATTCTAATCTAAGTGACACTAAATATCACAAAAAATATCCATTTATGCGCTTTGCAAAATTACGGTTCCGAACGAAGTTGGATACCTTAAACTGATTTTAAAATTAAATGAGCTTGCAGCTATAAATATTATAAAATTAGCACAGTAAATAAATTGAAAAAAATGCCATTATTTTATTTAACTTATATATATTATTTTTTTATAATGAATGCAATCTTTTTTAAAAAAAGGTGTGGTCCTCCGGTATCCTCCGATTCCACAATGTGGCCCACGGGCCAAAGCAAGTTGCCCTTCTCTGATATGTACGAAACATTTGACTATCGAACCTTAAAATATACATTTTCATTCCCAATACTAATCTATCGCTTTTCAGAGGAAAAAAAAAAAGAGCAAGTTACATTAAAAAAAATTTGTAAGTCTATTCCTACTTAGGTCAACAAAGAAAATTTTTATTTTAACTACTTTTATTAAATAGTTACAATTAATATAAATATGTATATACATAGTACAGAATCACAGCATTAAGTGGTAATTAATTTTTATTAATTATCATTAAAGTATCGTATTTTCATCCAAAACTATCGTGTCTATAAAAATTCAGTTCAACTGAATCCTGTAAAACGTGAGAAAAAAAACATTTTCAAGTTTTGACAGAAGTCGCCAAAATGGTCGATAAGTCGCCAACGTGGCTGTATTTGTAATTCTTTAAATAATTAGTTTTAATCAATTTTAATTATTTATAAGTAAATTATTGTATTGTCATCCAAAATAATCGTGTATATTAAATTTCAGCTCAATTGAGCGCTTTAAAATGTATTTTATTAACGATTGAAAATTCCACCTAGATAAATAAATAAACAAATAAATATACAGACAATGTAAGCTAATAGTAGGAATTGGAAAAAAAAGAGCAAGTTATACACATTAAAAAAATCTTCAGTCTATTCCCACTTAGGTCAACAAGGAAAAGTTTTATTTTAGTTACTTTTTATTAAATAGTTACAATTAATGAAAAAATATATACATATGACAGAATCACAATATTAAGTGACAAAATAGAAAGTGTCATTTTTCATTTTCCTTTCTACTGCTGGACCATTTTTGTTTGTTACTCTATTTATTCATTAATTAAATTAAATTCTAATAAAATAGAATAGTAGAAAAGAAATCACATTCTCAGAAATTAGGCCACTCCAGGTGGGATTCGAACCCACGATCTTTGGATTAGAAATCCAACGTGCTATCCGTTTCTCTACTGGAACCCAACGAACGATTTTCCTTTCTATATATGCTGATGGACTATCATTTTTGTTTGTTACTATTTATTCATTAATTAAATTTAATTAATGAATTAATATTTGAAAAAACTGTATTAACATCAAGTGCCATCCACTACAAATTTTAAAAAATGTATTTGAACTTAAATGGATCAATAGAAAGTATTTTACAAGAGATGGAAATTTGAACAAGAAATATATATATATATATATATATATATATATATATTTCTTGTTATATATATATATATTTCTTCATACATATAATATGTATATACATATAATATATATATATATATATATATATATATATATATATATACATATTATATGTATGAGGATAATGTGAACTAATAGTAGAAATTGAAAAAAAAAAAACAGTGCTTGTTATATGGCGAATACACCAAAAAAAAGATTAAAAAAGGTTTAAAAAATTTTTTTGAGCATTTAAATACTTCTTAAAAATAGATTTATAGATTACTATTAAATAAACAGGTTATGAATTTTTAAAAGGAGATTTCATAGAAAGAGGAGCGTTTAAAGCTGACCCTGAGTAACATTTTGGCTTAGTGCACTTCACCGTATTCAGCACTAACTCTTAGACAATGAAGGATTAAGGTTATACTTATTTTCAAACATATTTAAGAACATTCGATGCAATCCACTTACAAAGAAATCAACTAATGTAATCCAGTGAGATTATTGTCGTACGCTTCGTCACTGATTCGAATCAGTCATGGGTTTGAATCATGATTCTTCAAAATAGATTGATTGTTTATTAATATTTCACTTAAAAAAATAACATAATGGTTGTTAGCGAAGAGCAAATGTTTATAAATACTGGAATGAACTGCATTTTATAGTTTAGTACAGGGTTGTCCAACTCAAATGACCTTGTGGGCCACTTCGGAAAAACATTATAACCTCGCGGGCCGCACATAAAAATATGTACCTTTATATCAGATTTGGAAACAAAAAACATTTATTGAGTGAAAATTTAAAACAGAACGAAAATTAACGATTCGCAAACAATTAGATATACGTTGCCCTAACCATCCTGAATATTTTTTTAAACTTTAAAAAAACATCTCTGTGAGAGACTGCTACTTTCTTTTTTGGGCATTCAAAACAGAAAACGAGGAGGAGAAATGAAAATCGCACACACAAACAATCATGTACCATCCTTAATAATAGATATGCATAATGCAATTCTGAATTTATTAAAATAGTAATTTATTATAGAAAAATCAAATGTAACTGTTCGATAAAATATAAATTTATTATAATCTAAATGCCACATTTCTATTATCAAAAAGGATTTATTTCAAAACAAGAACAGGTAACAGGCAAATACATTGCAGATTTATATATATATATATATATATATATATATATATATATATATATATTTGCCCTCAAGTAAATTTCATAATGAAATAACTTTAAAAACCTGATGTTTAAAAAAATTTTAAAAAGAGTCGGCGGGCCGCAATTTACGTACTGGTGGGCTAAATGAGGCCCGCGAGCCGCGTGTTGGACACCCCTGGTTTAGTATATAATGATATTTTCAGAGGTATAGTGAAAAGAAATAAATTGGACAAATGAGAGTTATAACTTGATATATATATATATATATATATATATATATATATATATATATATATATATATATATATAGATATATCATGATTTTTAAGACAGAACCAGATTAAAGTTTAAAAAAGGAGATCTTTATTAAATCGTTTGTACATCTGTTCTGACACCGAGCAGGGAGGAGGGAGGAAAAAGCACGCCATGGTGGTGGTTTCAAGTTGATAACACTTGAAAAACATATGGTAAGTATCGCTGCTTTGAAGAGGTTGCTTGCAAGTTAATGCTGACATATGTTGACTATTAAATCTATAACGAGATCTGGAATTAGACATGTTTATTGGCTAGGCCATATGTTTGGAAGAAATAAATGGGTGATTAGTTTGATACTTGAATATGGGAACTGAGAAAGATGAGTCAAGTGCTAGATAGGGAATTTAATTTTTAATCTAATTTAATTATCCTTACATTTGCCCCCCCCCCAATTTTAAAAGGGAGTTATGGCGTGGTTTTTTTCTCTCTCTTTACAAACTTAATCAATTTTCAATAAACACAAAACAATACATAACATTATTTAGAAAGACATATTAAACACAGTAGAAATATTTAAGCAATAGTAATACTAAAATCAAAAAGCAATATAATAACGAAACTATAACAACAAACACAGTAAGGACACTTCCAACATATTAATTGATAAAAATGAATTTCCATACATATAATTGAAGATTAGCTTGTTTAAATCTATTCGACATCCAGAAAAAGAGATCGCGTTTCCTCCTATTCCTTCATAATAATAGATTTATATTATAGCTAGCAGATAATGTTTTAAAAAAAATTTATATTGGAAAATAATATATCAAACAATAAGATAGTAAATATAAAAATACATGATATCATACAAATGTTAAAATAATAATTTTGTATAATAATCTACTCTGGCACCATCGTAGTAATACCTTATATTGTTACACACATTTTGCATATATGAAATACATTTTTTAAAAAGATAAAAAAATATAGACACTAATAAAATGAAATTATTAATAATATGAAAACGGTGTATAACACACAACTTCTATGCACTATCCAACACAATAAACAATGTTTTATTTCATATGCGTTATAAAATATAAAAATTATAAGAATATAAGAGCTCTTTTTTATTATTTTGAGTCGGAAAAGTGGACTCACTTCAATAATAACTTTTAGTATTTCTGAAAATTTTTCTCAATATTCATTACAACTTAATATCGCATGCAATATTTTGAATCTTTCCGTAACCTTCTAAAAATACGTTTCATAGACAAAAATTCTTGAGTTTCTCTTGCATCACACATTCACTAATAAAACTGTATCACCTTACTTAATTTTGAACACATCTCTCTGAGAAATCTGCGTCATCAACTCACAGATGTTCAGGGACGCTGATAAGAAACAATGAGAGGTGTACATATCAAACTAAACAAGTTTGTCCTCTTAATGTTTCGAGACATATACAAAATTATAATGATTGTGTTTTCTCCCTTATCCACTGTATAATATCCAAAAATAAACTTCAAGTTATCAAATTAATTTTAATTTTAGATAAGGAAATTTTCGAGAAATAGTGAATCCTGATATATGGCCAGTATATCAAACCACACAATTTCAAAATAAAAAAATTTAATGACATGCAATAAGATTACTGCTGAATGAAATAATTAACAAAACAATTGAATTCAATGGAGAAAAATGAATACAATTTGACTTTACTTTTGTTTCTTATAAAAATCAATATCTCTAATATTAGTTCTCTCATTAGTCATTTTTCTAAAAACTTAATTTATATCTTTCACTTTAAAACACCAATTTCTATCATAACTCTTAACTCATTCGACATCTTAAGATAAAATTATGAGAAGTATATTAAAATTTCTCAAAGTTTTGTATGACTAAACCTATATACTTTGTTTTCTCAATTATAAAATATAAAGAAAATATCTCATTTATAACACAACTACATTATAAAAATTAAATACCATATCATATCATATATTATTCTTTTCCGCCGAAAAGTCTTGTTAAGCAGAACTCAGTTATTTCTGTATTACGTAAGATGTTTCTTTTAGTGATTATCTTCTCATTATTATGGGTATTTTGTTGAATGTAATTTAACTGAAAATTTTCAGATGAATGAAAATGTCTTAAACGAACTGAATGAACCAATTCAGTGTCAGTTTTATTAAGGGCATTTGGTCTATCAATTTCAAATAATACATCAGAACATTTTCTTAAAACGGTATAAGGGCCTGAATAAGGGGGACTTAATTTCCTTGTATTGGGGTATTGAAATTCCTCATACATCACTAAGTCACCAACCTTGAAATCAGCTTCCTGAAATTTTTTTATCATATCTAATCTTATTTATTTTATATTGTTCTGTTCTTTCTTTGGCTAATTTTCTTGCTTCTTCTAAGGGAGAATATATCTCATTATCTTTTAGAGAAATTTCGAAAGGTAAATTACCATACATTAAGTAGGTTGGAGGGAAACCTGTTATTGTATGTGTGGAGTTTGATTATACTGATGGGTTACTTTTTCTAGAATTTTTGTCCATGGGACTTTATTTGAACTATTACTAATTTCACATTTTAAGCGGGTAATGATGGTTTGATTTACACGTTCAACCTTTCCATTGGTTTGTGGTCTGTGAGAAGTAGTTAATAATTGAGTGACATTATTATGTTTTAAAAAATGCTTAAATTTTGAAGAGGTGAACGCAGTATTTCTATCATTTAAATTTTTTCCGGTATGTGATTCTGAAAGATTTGTCTTAAACAATTTATATAAGTATCTGTTATTGCATTTTTTGATGGGAAAGTCCAAATGTACCTAGTTGCATGATCAATAATAATGTGTAATTATTTTTTAACAGAGTTGTAATAATTTAAACCACCTACACTATCTATCGATAAAAGTTCAAAGGGTTTTTCACAAAGGGGAAGTGATTGCATCAGTCCGTATTTTCTCTGATGTGACTTCTTATTTATTTCACAAGTTTCAGTGTTTCACATAATTTCGTATATCAGTAATAATGTTTATCCACAATAATATTGTGGTGATATTAATTTTAACATGGTAGCTACACCAGGGTGGCCAAATTTTTTATGAGTTGTTTCCATTAATTTCACTCTTAGAGTTTTGGGTACAATTATTTTATTTATAAACCTTGTCTTTTAACTACAAAAACACCATCTCTCTTAAAACATTTAGGAGCTGATGTATTTTCTATATTTTGAAAATGACTTATTTCATTGATATCTAATAAAGGTTTTGGGGGTGTATTAATTATATGATAAGCAATAGGATTTCTTGTTAACATATCAGCTTCAACATTAGTGCTACCTTTCTTA